GGAATTTGCCAATAGTGCAAATGCCGCCATGCAGAGCGGCCGGGTGCCATAGGCGCTTGTCCTGTCGTCGAGCACTTGCACAAGTGTGACGTTCCCAATGCCAATACTACTACTACTACTACTACTATTTCTTCTTCTTCTTCCAGTTGTTGTAAGCATGTCGCGGCGACGAACGGCTCAAACCGTCCTGGAGTAACGAATGACGTGAGTTTCTTTTGCCAAAAAAGCAACACACAGAAGTTGTAAGTGGTTTAAGGAGTGGCTGTGCAAACACCGCATGCGGACTGAAAGCTCTTCAAACACTTGTCAAGCAGTTGTCCAGCATCAGATGTTTGCTGCCATGGAGATGCTGCGTCTGCTTGCGATTCTTCTGACCGCATGCTGATTGTGTTTGTTTCGCAGACAGCTCAATCGTTGCCAACTGCTTTTCACGATGCTTCGTGTGCTTCAGCATTCAAGAGCATTTTGTCGAAGTTACATGATAGGTATTTGAGATAGAAGCATGTTTCATGTTGAGGTGAAATGAACGCATGACGCGTATCGGACGCCACCCTGGATCTGAGTGCTCGTCGGATGATTGTGGGTTCGTCTGATGCAAAGGCCGGTAACACGGTGTGGTAGCGGGTCTGTGCTGTATCTCGGTGAGACGGTTGCATTGCATTGTCAGGCCCCGGCACAAGAACTGGAGGTAACCGTCAAGTCTGCGCAAGGCGGCAACTCGCCAATTCCAGCTTTCATGTGCACAAGGTTTAGCATTGATGAATGTGCACAGGTCTGCGCGAAGCAAGTCATGCTGGAACAACAGATCCTTACTGTGCACATGTCTCGATTTGTGTCAACGTTGCTGTGGCACACGGGCAGCCACATTGCTACGTTTCCTCAACCATTTGAGGTTGTCGAAGTGCTGGGATCCCAAAGCCGGTTCCAGACAAAAACTTTGCAGCGTACTGTGTGCCTTGGATTGCATCGGGCGTATGTCAGGTGTTTGTGCAGGGTCGAGGTCGTAGCTGACGCCGATGCTGTATCCATCCAAGGAATCCCGTTTGGGAAGAGACGGGAACATTGATCCTTGGACGATCGAGCGGTTGGTATATTTCAGGAGACACGATACATTGTTGTTCGTGATTTGGTGTTGGTTCGCCTTGTGTTGTTGAGGATTGTTGCGCGAAATGGTGTGGTCAAAGTCACCATCTACGATTTCGATAACGCTCTGCAAGATGAAGTGCCCGATCCTGAGTACCTTGTTGTGCAAGCTGCACGTCAGCAATCAAGCCAAGCGTTTAAAGTGGTCGTGGCCGAATCCGACATGCAGATCTACGTTTCCCAGCGAAGGGGTTCCAATATTAACTTGTCTGTTTTCTTGCTACGGTCAGGTTGGGATCTGTGGAAATTCCTTCCACGAGTTTCGCTGACGGAAGTTTCGAGGGAAGGCTGCCGTTGCAGGACGACGGAGCTTTGCCGCAGGGTTGCACCGCAGTGGTCGTCAGTCCACCCTTCATGGTGGCATGCAGGACGCACAGGCCAAAGGGCAGGCATCTTTGCAGGCAGACTTTGAAAGATAGTTCCAGTTCGATGCACATCATCGACTCATCCTCTTGTTCCCTGTGGCATGAGGTTGGTCTTCGTGTGCTCCGGAATGTGCAGGTGGGGTTTTGTTGCATCCAACAGCACGTCAAGAATCGTTGGCTGGAGCACAGGCACCGAACAGCGGTTCCACTGCACGAAGCAGTGAAGGATGGTGCCATCAGCGCAGAAAAGTGTAGCCATCAAAGCCGCAACGCGCTTGACAGGAAGTGCAGCTGCTTTGGCTGTGCCGCCTACTCTTTTGCAGGCTTTTCCGGACCTGGCCCTCCCGCCATGCTTGGATTCCGTTTGAGATTGGTGTGGGTTGCAATCTTCATTCGGGAGGTCTGTCTTTCGAGTCTTCCCACTCCCGTGTGTCCATCCCGCTGCTTTATGCTTGACAAGTTTTTTCTTCGCTGGCGCCAGCTGGCATGCAGCAGACAGCTGATTACTGACTTACAAATGGGGCGTTTCCATCAGGTGTGTGTGGAACTTGGAAGCTGGGAATCGGGGAGACTGAACTCTCGCTAGTGAAGTGGAAACCATATCTCGCATGTGGCTGCCCCTGTCTCGTCACGCGTGCCCTGCCTTGCAACCTGCTTCCATATTCCCCGACCGCTGCTCACGCCGCCACGCGGGAGTGTCCTGTGTCCTCTCCACAGGCTTGGAGACGGCAAGGGCCGTTTGTGGAAGCTTCCTCTGTCGAAGGTCGCTTGAGCTGCTGTCTCCTTCTAGCGGAGGTGTTGTGTCAGTTATATTTATGGGAGGCCCTGCTTTTCATGTCTTGGTCTTGGCCTGTCTACGACTTGGCGCAGTCTCCAGCCAAACTGTTGCCAGGCATAGATGGCATAAATGTATGTCTGAATTGGTTTCCCTGCTTCTTCATGCAGAGAGGTTCCGCATGCGATCTGCTGTGTTCTTGGGCCCGTCACCAGTTTCTAGCTGTGCAGCTGTTCTGGACCAAAGCGTCGAGTGCCATTCTCCCGTTTCCATTTTCGGACTTCGACGCATCTGCACTGTCAGGACACATGGGACCAGTTGAAACCTTGCGCTCCAACCCGCATCACAGGTCCCCCAAGCGTGGCAAAAGAAGAGTTGAGGTTTGGGAAGACCTTGATCTTCACGACCAGCTGACGGTGTGGGCCATCGGCCTAAGTGTGGCCATTACATTTCTTGAGGCATGTTACATATCGAACGGAAGCGTCAGGCTGTTGTCGAATTTGGCACAAGCAGTTTTCGCCATCACATTCTGCTCACTGCAAGGTTATGGATTCTACCTGTATGCCCAGGAGCGAAACTCATCGTATTCAGAGAGTTTGCGACAGTTCTTTTTCGTGGATCTGGAAGACACAGATGCGAACTGGAATATGTGCGATCTTGTGCTGAATGCTGTCAGTATCTTGGATATGTTCCTGGACACCTTCGAGGGAAGGTTTGTGCATGCGCTTGCTGCCGTGCGGGTTGTGCGCATCGTACGCCTTGTGCGCATTGTTAGCCTAGTTCCACTACTCGGGCCCAGCAAGTTTGTGGAGGACTTCAGCAGGGTGTCACACATGGCTGTTGAGCAGATGTTTAACTTTTTGGTGGTAATATTGGCGTCTCTGCTGGTGCTTAGCGTTTGCGCAACAAATATGCTGTGGGACTTTCCTGATGCAGAAGTCGCGGCATGCTACGGCAACCTGGGTGCAACTATGTGGACTCTGTTCAAGATCATGACCATGGACGGTTGGATAGATAGGGTCGAGACGGTGATGGTAGTCCATCCGAACATGTTGTACTTTTACGCGGTTTTCGTTTTTCTGTCACTTTCCTCCGTGTCCATTGTGCCTGCAATCTTCATTGACATACTTTTGGAAGACCTGCTGAAAACCCGAGACGAAGTGCGGCGAGAAGAGAAACGGCGGAAGCGAGCTCGGCGAGCAGCGCGACGGGGTGTCAAAGGAAATTATCAGAAGTACCACTCCTCCGAAGCCCTTTTGTCCGACTCTGTCCATCAGAGCGCGGAGAGCCAGCCGAAAGCTGCTTGGCAAGACGACATCTCCTGTCACTCGGATTCGTCGCTCAGCTCGGGCAGCTCGGATGCGGACCTGGCGGTGGAAACGAAGGCGAAAGAGGCGCCTCGCAGCTTTACATCTGGCCAGCGCCAAAGCCAAAGCTACCATCTCGTCAGCTCTGGTCCTCAGGACCATGAGCTCCCGTTGCGAGATCATGCATTCCAAGAGCTTCTGGACGATGCGCTCGAATCAGTGTCTCGGTGTGGCGAGCTCGCCCAACTCTCATCAGAGCTGCAACTGATTCAATCGGGTCTCGAGGCACACCTTCAAGGCCTCCTCAAAAAGCTGACAGCCGGAGTCGGCTCTGAGCCTTCCGCCAGGTGGCCAGAGCAAGGCTCAGTCAAGAAAGTGAGCGTCTGCACTTCTTCGGAGACGCCCGCATTGAGACTGCCGCCTGGAAGACCCGCCGGCTCCGCCTATGGCTTGGCTCCGCCTGGTGATCGCGAAACTGATCACCAATCGGGCCCGTCACGCCCGACGGCCGTGATCTTGGAGCGTTCGAGCTGCTTGGGCCAAAGGATGGATCCCGAAGATGGATTGTCTGCAGCCCCCATCTGAGCCGCATGAGGGCGCTTTATGCTGCTGCATCTCGCTCTCGAGACTGGCGGGCGCTGTTTGCGGCGTCTGCTGTCGATGTAGAATGTACTGCTTTCAGATCGATTCGCATGATTCTGCCCGCAAGGCGGTTCGCAAAAGAACGACGAGAGCAATCAGAAATAATGCAATTTCCTCCAAATTGTCCTGAACTTGTCTGTGCGACAAGTGTCCGGCACAAAGATGTTTTTGATGGATGAGAGAGAAGCACAGGCTATGGTTATGCCGGATCCTTTCTCCTTGACGACGGTGCCGAGGCTTTACATTCCGCTGTCGGCCTTGTAATGCTAGAAAGCTCAATATGTGGGTGCTGAAGAAGTCCAACGTGTAGCCGTGTCCACTGCCCCAGCCACAGCTGCCGCCATCTCCCACACCGCCGCCACCAAACAAAAGCCCGGTGGGGAGAGAAGAAGTCATCCAGGGAACTGCCCTTGAGCAAGCAAAGTAAAGTCATGCATCCGACGGTCAACGTTCTAAAGGCTCCAGGCACCTTGAGCATGCATACATGTGAGCGTGATTCTCCAGCTGATCAGTGCCATTCGGCCTTTCAACAAACATGCTTTCTGCTTGCTGCTTCCACAATCTCGTAGAAGCGAAGTTCACGGAGACATGCATTGGTCGAGCGTGCCAGCGCTCATAAACCACCACAGGGAAGTCACTTCAAGTTTCGCACAACATCGTTGTTCCGACATGTTCCGACTGACAGAAGGCTTTAGATGCGTTACGAGCATCGGGAAAGGACGGTGAAGCCCGAGGAACGAAGGCCATCGCCTGCGCCTCGGAGAAGATCGGGGGCCGGCGGGCTTGATGCAGAAACCCTTGGTCATCTCTGTGGTGGTAGGTCGCAAGAAGAGGCACAACATCTGGTCGAGGTGCAAGTCTTTTGCTGAATGCAATACCGATAGTCCGATGGCACTACGTATCGAGCTAATTTGGAGTCATTGAGCAGCCAGCTTTACAACTGAACGTTTCAGGCCTACCACCGCTTGCCTGGACCTTGGACGGCAAGCTCGGACACATCCCTGAGGATGCTACAGCCTCATGAGGCTGGATCAGCTGCTGGCCGCACAGGAGAGCATCGAAATGGATCAGGACATGTCCCCAGACCATCATGGCCCATGCTGGCATGAGTAGGGGGCGAGTGTAAGACTGAATTTCTTTGGGGTGCCCGGTTGGTTATATTAGTCGTTGAGCCTTCTGTTTGCGAGCATTGCTATGGAAAATGCTGCGACTGTTGCCGTGCTGCTCCTACTGCTGTTTCTGTGTCTAGGTCTCGCTCCTGTGCATGCTAATGCTCGACTTTGACCAATGACGACGAGGACGGCCGCTAGTATTGGTGCTGCTATTTAGTACTATTGGAGTAGGAGCAGGCGTGGTCGTCGGAGTCGGAGTAGAAGCCGGAGTAGAAGTAGAAGTAGTTGGAGTCGCCGTGGGAGGCGGAGGCGGAGCAGTGGTGGTAGTGGTGGTGGTACCTGGTAGTGGTGGTAGCTAGTGCTGCTGCTAGTGAGCCGGTGCTAGTGATAGTGCCCGTAGTGCTAGTAATTCCAAAAGGGCTGGCAGTACTAGTACTAGTGCTGCTGCTGCTGGTGCTGCTGCTGCTGCTGTCACTACTGCTGCTGCTGCTAATGCTATTGCTACTGCTACTGCTGCTTGCTGCTCCTGCTACTACTAGTAGTACGACTACGACTACGACTGCCACTACCACTACCACCACC